GAGGCCAGCCTGGGCTACACAGTGGGTCCAGTGTTAGCCTGTTCTGCATAGTGAGACTCTGTCTCAAGAAAAATATATATACACATATAGTGTATGTGTGCGTGCGTACATGTATAAACAACTCTTTAGGATTCACAAGTAATGGGGGAGCAAACTGATTGTTTAGGGATGCAGACTGGGAAATTGGATGTGAAAAGGATTTTCTTATCACTGATTTATTATTTGCATTTTAGAGGCAACATGCACACATGTAATGACTTATTATAGCACCCTAGTCCCATCTTGACTCTCTCTCTGCACCCTACACGGCTGTAACAAGTGGCTTTGGAGATGTTAGGATCCTAGCAAAATGAGTTCTTCTAAAGTTTCCTGATTTCCAGTTTAAACTAAGTCACAATTTCTTTTCTTTGCATACTTTTCTGCTTGGAAGTGTGCTAACCATGAATATATAATACATTTATTATCTTATTACTAGATCTGTCTTGTAGACATCTGTTTTTTAGTCTGCCTAACATACTTTCTTCTTGGTTAAAAAAAGTTGCTCTGAGGAAATTCCCCTCCCTGTCATGGTGGGTCTGTGTCCATCCCTGACCTCACTCCTCCCTCACTCAGGGTTGAGTGTAGGAACCCAGTTATCTGAGGTGACTGGTTTCTAGATAAGTGTGTTGGTTTTTCTACATCTGTTTGGATGTTGAGAGCTATGAGTTGAATGTCTCCCGGTTAGCTTATGTGTTTGAAATTTAACCCCCAATGCAACAGTGTTGGACACGGGGCTTAATGAGAGAGAGGCGATTAATCTTGAGGGCTCTGCCCTCATGAACAGACCAATGTTGCTATTGTAGGAATGATTTAGTGGATTAATTACTGGAAGACTAAGTTTGTTATAAAAGTGAATTCTCTGTTTCAGTCTTTGTCTCTGTTTCTGTCCCCTCCCCCTACCCTCTTGCACCACAAGTGGAGAACAAGTCTTTAACTCATGGGTCTTTTTGGAACATTTCAGATCCAAACTATAGGAGGATCCTGATAAAAGAGGCTCAAGGATACCATCAGCTGTTCCCACTCTTAGCTATTATGAATAATGCAGCTACCAATCTTTATGTGCATACTTTTGTGTGACAGTATTTTCATTTGTTTGTATCCACCTAGGGGAGGACCTGTGGGGCCATCCAAACCAGACCTGCACTGTTCCTGTGAAAACTCCCCCTGTTGAGCTGGTTCATGCCCTTTGCAAGCTTGCTTCTCTAGTCTTTTCCCCAAAACTCCATGGCTTTTGTTCAGAGATTTCTTTCCTTTCCCAGTGCACCAAACTGTCCTGAAGGTCTATCAGAATGATGCGTGGTTTGGGGTGGCTCCCAGCTGGGTTATAGTTAATAGTTTCTGTTGCTGTCTGTTACTCTTTGAGGTGCTCCAGGCAGCTTGTCCCCCTGGATTCTGGCTTATACCAGGCTTGATGCAAGATTCTAGTCTCCCTGGAAAACTCTGAGGAGAGAATGTATCACTCTTGTGTACAGACCTGTCAGCCCTCAGTACAGCTATTCCACAACTCTGTGGCACCCAGTGTAGCATTAGTGCATGAAACGGATACAGATGCTTCAGCCTTCTCTTTGAAAAGCACTTTACACACATGATCAGAGAACTCACCACAACTGTCTACACTTGTACTCTAACGTTTAGATATTATATTGGCTTTCACTATCGAACTTAGCTTCTTTACTGACCTTAAAATGACACTCTTGGTTCTACTGCTTTAATATCATTTATTCACTGATAATTCTCAAGTATATAATTTTGTCATTCATCAAAATGATTGACAACTATAAATACATGTACTAAACAATGGAATCCTTGTTTAGTTTTGTGATGCTGGAGATTATACCCAGGGAACACTTAGTAACATCTCCAGTGTTCTTAAAATTTTATTTTGAGTCAAGATCTTTCTAAATTTCCCAGACTAGTTTTGAATTTGTGATCTTCCTGCCCGGGCTTCCTGAGTAGTTGGGATTACAGATATGTGCCACCATGCCTGACTAGAGCCTCCAAATTACAGAATGAAACAATTACAATGAAACAAACATTGACCCAATTTAAAGGTGAAAGACTTCTCTACAAAGATAGTTGGAGACTTCAATACTCCACTTTCAATATTGGATAGAAAAGCAAGGTGGAAAATCGATAAGTGATTAGAAGATTTGAACAGCACTATAAACCAAAGGAACCTGAGAATATAAGAGTACTCTACCCAACCACAGCAGAGAAGGGCACACATTCTTCTCAAGTACACATTGGAACATCCTCCAGGTTAAATTATGTGGCAAGACACAAAGAAAGTCTCAGTAGGTTGAACAATATTAAAATCAACAAAGTATCTTTTTTTGCAATGAAATGAAACTAGAAATCAATAGGAAAAGGACAACAATGATCACAAATATATAAATATTTTATTTTATTTTAGACTAGTCAAGTGCAGTAGTGAGAAGGGGGGAAAGAGTAGAACAAGGAGTTCAATCTGTACTGACTGTGAACAATCAATTGAGATAACTCACTACCTTCAGACCAGCCAAATATATAAATATTAAATGACACACTCTTAAACTCCAAAGAAGAACCCACAAGGAGACTACAAAATACTTTGAGACAAACTAAAACACAAACCCAACATACCAAGTATATAGCCCTCATTCAGGTTTCCAAGATATTATTGGAATGTGCAACAAACAACTTACAGGTTTCTGAAATTTATGTCTTTGGCATTTGCTTCTTTCTTTTTCTTTTTATTATTCCAGCAAATGGCACCTTCAAGTTGTTTAGGACCTAAATCTTGGAATCATCATTTATTCTTCTCTTGGTGACCTATAGCCACCAACCAATCTCGACTTTCCTTTCAAAATAGGACTCAAATTTAACTGCTTCTCCCCAAGTCCATTGCTATCATCCTGGTCCTAGCCACCATCATCTTTCACCTGAGTTACTGTAGTAGTTTTTCAGCTGCTTTCTTGTCCCAGTGAAGTCTATGAGTGATTCCAATTGAAACTGAAATTGGAATATCTCATTCTCCAAACTGAAACCCTATCACTGTGCTCTGTCCCATTTGTGGTCTAAAGGACCCTACAAGGTGATTCTTGCTTACTCAATGCAATTGACCTATATCGTTATCATTGTATCCTTTTTTTTTTTTTTTTTTTTCGGTCTTTTTGAGACAGGGTCTTGCTATGCTGGGCTTGGGCTCACTTTTTAGCTCAGGCTGGTCTCAAACTTGGAATGTTTCTCCTGGCTCAGCCTTCCGAGTTCTGAGATTACAGGAGTGTGCCACCATGTTAGGCTATCCTTGCATTTTTAGACAAAGATAAAAGTGGCCCCTGGCTTTAGTTCGTATTTTTACTATTTGTAAGAGGTTGATCATTGTTTTTAACGCTTTTTAATCATTTTTTTTCCTTTTGTAGTACTGAGATTTGACCTCAGAGGCTTTACACTGAGCTACATTCCCAGACCTAGCCCACTTTATTTTCTATTTTGAGACAAGGTCTTGCTAAATTACTAAACTGCCTTGGCTGGCTGAGCCTCAGCCTCCCAGAGTGCTGGTATTATGGGTGTATGCCACCATATCTGGCTTTGTTTATTTACTTTTTTTGTTTTTTTGAGGCAAGGTCTTCCTACGTGATTGAGGCTGGCCTTGAACTCTCTATGAGGCTGGCTCAAACTTCCTGCCTCAGTGTCCCAAGTGCTTGGATTACAGATGTGTACTGCCACCCCCAGCCACATCCAACTTTATTAATCATTTCTTATTTCATGTATAACCCCAGTTTTTCTATTGGGTTGTCTTCTTGTTTGCATAGAAACTATGACTATTTTCCCAAGTTTTTTCTATATACATCTGTACACACGTATGTACATACATATGCATGTAAATATGTTCCTCTACACCCCTACAAAGATTTTGTCAAGCAGTCAAATTTGTTAATCTTTATTTACGATTTCTGTTTTGCTTTATGTTTAGAAAGACCTTCTCCTGTTTAAGAGTATAACAAAATATTTGCAAAATTTCTTTTGGTATTATATGAGGTCCTTTTGCATTCAAGTCACTTTATCTGAAATACAGTTGTCCCAAATAGCATTTATTCACTAATCCACATTTTCTCCACTGATTCAAAATGTTACTTTTATCGCATCACAAATTCCCACGTGCATTTGGGTCTAGTTCTGAATTAAAAAAAAAAAGACTTTCTTATCTGTGTTTCTGCACCATTACAACAAAGTTGATTGTATCTTTAAAACACATTAAAGGTCTCTGAGAGCAAATCAGTCTTATTACTTTTACTTTCAGAATTTTCCTAGATGTTCTTCTTTTTTTTAAAAACAGCTTTGTTGAAATATAATTTACATACCATAAATTTCATCCATTAAAAGTGTATTGTTCAGGGCTGGGTATGTGATATAATGAGTCCCTAAATTTGATCTCCAATAGTGCAAAAATAAGGTAAAAGATTCAATTTGATATAATATATTATATTCACAGATATGTGCAACCATCAGCAAGTCAATTTTGGAACATTTTCATTATTTTATGAAGACACCCATGCCAGGCATTGTGTAATCTCAACACTGGGGAGGCTGAGACAGGAAGATCACCATGAATTAGAGGCCAACCTGGGCTACACGGTGAGTTCAAATTTAACCTGAACTACATAGCTAAACCCAATCTCAGAAAAAGCCTCATATTCTTTAGCTATTTCTCCTCCCGTTTTCCTCTCACCTCCACTAGCCCTCAGCAACCCCTAACCTACTTTATGTTTCTATAGGATTGGCCTGTTCTTAAAATTCCTATAAATATAATTACATAATGTGGTGGTTGAGCTTAACTATGTCAACTTGATTGCTTTGGAAATCATCTAGCCGATTAGTAAAGTGCACTTCTGTATGTATCTGGGTGTGTCACAGAGCTGTGACTTTTGGTACAACATATATGGTTCCTGGGCTCCATATCTGGAGCTGTTTCCTCTCTCTGCTTCTGGCCAGCATGATGAACTAAGCATCTTTGTTCTGCCATGCTCTTCCCACATGAGTCCTTGCCTTGGAGCTGGCTTATGATGGACTGAATCTCCTGTGAGCCAAATTAAACCTCTTCTCCTTTAGATTGTGGGTGTTGGATAATTTGTCCCTGTAACAGGAAAGATAACTAATACATATCAAATATGTGGTCTTTTGTAAGTGGAGTATTTTATTAGTATAATATTTTCCAGACTTATTTATGTTTATTTATAATAGTTTTCAGATTTATTTATGTTGTGGCATATATCAGTACTTCATTGTTTTGTATGATCAAGTTATATTTGCATGGATATACCGCATTTTGTGTATCTGTTCATGAACTGATGGATATTTGGGTTATTTCTACCTCTGATTATTTTGAATAGTATAGTTTTGAATGTTCATGCACAAGTTTTTGTTTGGACACATTCTGAATTCTTTTGGGGTATATATCTAAGAGTAGGATTACTGTGTCATGTAGTATTGTTTAGCTTTTTGGAAAATCTTCAAAGTGTTTTCACAACAATTCAACCATTTTATATTCCTATTAACAGCACAAATAATTTCTTCATTTCCTCCCTGAGTCTTGTTACTTTCTATTGTCTTTATTTATTTTTTTTTTGTCTTTTTCCTTACTTGTTTTAAAGCTGGTCATCTCTGTGGGTGTGAAGTAGTATGCAGTTGTGGTTTGATTTTTAGTTTCCTAAAGTCAGGTGATACTGAAAACCTTTTCAAATATTTCCGTGGCCACTCATACATCTTCTTCAAAGAAATATTTATTCAAGTCCCTTGTATCTAGTTGGGATATTTACTTCTTTCTTTTTGTTTTTTTTTGAAACAGTGTCTCACTGTGTTCCAGGTTGACCTTGAACTTTCTATGAAGCCTAGGCTGGCCTCAATTTTGCAGTCCTAATGCCCCAGCTTCCCAGAGGGCTGGAATTACAAGCATGTACCATCACACCCATCTGGGACATTTGCCTCCTTATTATTGAGTGGTGAGAGTTTTGTATTTTCCTTACTATTCTATACATTCATTTTTCTAGGTGAATCTTCATCAAGGATGGTTGGGAACTTCTATGTATTTTAAAGGCAGAAAATAAATGTTCAGTCAGAATTTAATCTAATAAATTCTGCAAAACAACAGTTTCCTAAAGCATCTCTCTTTTAAGGACCCTGAAAGGATGAGGCCATGTACATTGTGAAATGGATTTAAAGCCTGCTTGCACGCATGGGGCAGGTCTGGGTTCTAGCACAGTGCTTCCTGAAGGTGTGTGCATCGAGACTGCTCACTACTCTCTGGCCTCAATTACCATAATTGGCAGTTCTGAGTCAGAGATCCAGACTGGAGTAGCCTTTTGGATGATCAGCATCCAAGCTAGGCTGACATGATTGCAGCATCCCAGCGATTGCACCCCTCCTGGGTTTAGAATTGAACCCAAGCCACTCTCCCAGCCCAACTCCAAGCAATGGCTTGCAGTGAACATCGTGCTTCACTAGGAGGAGGATGGTTTCCCACATGCTTTCGTCCTTAGGGTACCTGAAAGAGAATCAAACGTTCTTTATACCAGTTGTGTAATCATTAGGGGTATCTGAAAGAGAAGCAAGCACTTCGATCAATATTTTCAAGGCTTATTTGATGAAAGATTCTGGCTGGAGAATACACTGTTTCTCCAGCCCCTCCAGGGCAGATATGAATTTGAACATTTGTAATGAACTACGTCCATTTTTCCCCCTGGAAAATTCGTGTATATCTATGATTACAATAGGAGTGAAACTTAAAAACCATATACTGTGGTGCTTGACCTTTTACAACCACTTTTTGTTTTCTTATCCCTCCTTCCTGAGAGTCTCTCTAGCTATTTTTCATCATTCCTTTCCATGACATTTTAATGATGCAGATATACTGTGCATTTATTTATATACTCTGTGTGTATCCGTACTTTACACATAAAAAGAAAGTGAGATTTTTTTGGTCTCCTTATGATATGGTGTTCATTGAGAACACAAGTGCCATGGTTCGAGTGTCTCCACCTACTGAAATTTAACCCGGACTGTGAAGTGCCTTATGGTATAAGGTTACCAGAGGCATAAAGTTAGCGTCTTGATCCAATAAGTCTTTGGTTTTAGAAGAAGAAGAGAGAGCTGAGCTTGGATGTATCATCTGTCTTACCCTGTGATGACCTGCACCACCTCAGGACTGGGCAGAGAATCCCCAGCAAGAAGCACCTTGAGAAATGTGGACATCTAATCTTGAACTTCCCAGTCTTTAACATCATGAGCCAAATAACTTTTTTTTATTTTAAATAAATTACTCAATCTGTGGTGTTTGGTTATAACAACAGCAAATAGGCTAAGAGAGACAGCATGCTTTACATCAGAAATAGAGCTTTTGCCAATAGGAGTGGAGGCTAAGAGTTGCAAGGAGTGGGGAGGGAAGAGAGAAACAGGAGATAAAAAATTTGAGATGTGTTATGTACATGTATCAACTACTCATGATAAATGTAACTATACTAAGGAAAAACATTAAAAAGCAAAAACAAAACCAAAAAAACCCCCAACCTCCTTGCAGCCTCCACAATGTAAAAGCCAGAATCAGTCTAGTAGAGGCTCCAAAGAATATGTGAACTGATGCATACAGTGCTTGGCAAAGAGTCCAGGCATCAGCAATAAACAAGAGCCCTTGTTATTGTCACTTGTGTTATTTTAGGCTGGGTCATAGTGATGTCTGTACTCTCTCTCAGGCTTCAGAGTCCTCCCTTCTGGAGGCTGCTCTGAGGTCTAAGTCGCTCCCAGTATTTTTTTTTGACCCTAGAGATCCAACTCACAACCTCTCGATTGCCAGGCAGGTGCTTATGCCGCTGAACTAAATCCCTAGTCCCCGAGTCTGTTGTTTTACCAGGGCCCACTAGGGTATATGAGGGAGAGAATAGGGTTGGGTGAGGCCTGCAGGAAATGGACAGCCCTGGGTTTAGTGGTGTCAGAACTGATTTCTCAGGAGAACCCAGGAATCTGGGTTTGGCTATACATTCCCTGGATTCTAAGCATTAGTTCAACCACACAACAGTAATAATGCTTTGTAGATCACCCCAAAAAGATGAGCCAAGGTACAATGGCTTGTCCAGAGTAAGTATTTTAACTGGAATTCCAGTCTTAAGTCAGCTAAATACAGGCAGTCTCTTTCCACTTACAGGAGCCCCTACCCTCCCACTCATGATTCCTCCTGGGCATCTTCTGAGACCTCCTCTTTGCCCATTCCAGTCCCCAAACTGGGGCCATTCAAGATGGAGACAAGTACAGCCACCCTCTTCCCGGAGGCCTTGGACTGTGTCTCTTACAGAGCATTCATGCCAAAGTGACTGGCAAGGCTAGACCTTGGAAGAGGAGGGAGGTGGGGGAGAAGGGTTGGATGTCTGCAGGCGACCATGAGAAGCAGACCCAGGAGGGTGTGAGGAAGGCGGGTCGCTGGCCTCACCCATCCTTTCCCTGAGCCAGCCTCACAATCTCGCTGAAACAAACCGTTGTTCACACCCTCCCCTCTGACCCCGCTACCCCTGACATTGTTTTGTACTCGCCCGGGTCACGGGTGGGAGGCAAGGAACGCTGCAGTTCTGGAGTCTGGCTGCCCGCCAGGCCCGTGGCCTTCGGCCCTGAGGCCACTGGGGCGGCCGCGCCTCCCGGCCGCAGCAGAGGACGCCTGAGTCCACCACGCGCCGCCCGCCTCCAGCTCCACCATGGGCTCGTGCAGCTCCCACGCCGCGGTCATTCCCGACTTGGACAACATTCGGCGGGAGACTGGCTGTGAGTGCGCCCGGATTTGCTGGCCTGGGAGGGGACACAGCCAAGCGCTCTGGGGCAGGAGGAGGTGCAAGGCTTGACGGAGAGACAGATCCCCAGGTCCGGAGTTCCTGGAGCTGGGCGACCACGACCCCAGCTCCCCAGCGTCTGGGACCACCGGCCAGCGCGCGTTCTCATAGGGTTCTGGCGACCAGGTTCGAGAGGGTCTAGGGTCATGGGATTGGGGGTCAGATTCACCCAGGCACCCGGTCGGAGGAGGACGTTGACTTTGGTAACAAGGTTTGGGGAGCCTTTGGGGTGCTGAACTCGGCGCGCTTCTCTGGAACTGGTGGGGCTCCCTCTAACGGCGTCGGCTCCCTCTCCGGACTGCGCGGTGGCGACCCCTGCAGCAAGTCCCCGAGGTCCTCCTCGGCCCTCCTCCTCCGGCCGCCCGGAGCGGGGCTCTGGAGTCGCCCACCGGCTGGGGAGGGACACTCCCAGGCGCAGGGTAGCTGGGGCAGGAGGAGGGTGGCGCGGCGCGGCGTGAGGTTACCGGCAGGACTGGAGGGAGGGATGCACGGCCAGCCAGGGCCCCGGAGCTGGGAGCCAGCCTCTGGGAGCGTGCATGGGCCCTGGTGTCCCGGTGTGAGGGGGCCCCAGCGTCCTCAGCCCTCTCAGTCCTCACCGCCCCCACACTCCCGCAGTTTCGCAAGCCAGTCTGCTCCGCCTCTACCACCGGTTCCGGGCGCTGGACAGGAACAATAAGGGCTATTTGAGGTGAGGGCAGCCCGATAACCTCCCGCCTCTGTCTCGCTAACCTTATTTCCTCTTTCGTTGCCTCCATCTGCGTTCTTCATCCCCCTTTGAACTTTGTTTTTACAGCCACACTGACTTCCAGCAGATTGGGGCGCTGGCCGTGAACCCCCTGGGAGACCGCATCGTAGACAGCTTCTTCCCGGATGGGTGAGGCTACTCTGGGGTGAAGATGAATGGGTGGCCAGAGGTTAGAGCCCGAGGCAGGGAGCCTTTCATGGTGACGCCTGGCCCTTTCCATTCGCCCCCCAAGGAATCACCAAGTGGATTTCTCAGGCTTTGTCAGGGTCCTGGCTCATTTTAGACCTGTAGATGAGGAGGACCCAGGAATGCGAGACCCCAAGCAACCTGAACCACTGAACAGCAGAATGAACAAACTTCGCTGTGAGTATGTGGGGAACCCCCTAAGTCAGACTTCCGATTCACCCATATCAGAGACAGGCCCGGGAGTCCCCCACTCCCTTTGTGAGACTGTGATGCCCTCCACTCGTGCACGGTGATCTTCTGATAGATGAGAACAGGGGAAGACTCATCTTTTCTCTTCCATTCTCTGCCTAGTTGCGTTTCAGCTGTATGATCTGGATCGAGATGGAAAGATCTCCAGGCATGAGATGTTACAGGTTGGAAGAATCGGAGCGCAGGAGATGAGACGTGTGAAGGGTGGGAGGGTTGACTGCGGTGGTGTAGGCTATGGGGAGGGATAATCCATGGCTAGATGTTGCAGATGATTGGGATACTGGATGGTACATGGGACTGGGAATGGATAGGTCAGAGTTTGAGTTAGTTGGGAGATGGGGTAAAGAGCAATTGAATATGAGGTTAGGAATAGATCAGTGATTCTCAGCTGGGGGAAATTTTTCCCCCAAACGAATATTTGGCAATAGATGCAGACACTTTTGGTTGTCACAGCTGGGAAAAGTGTCCTACTAGTATGTGTCTGGTGGAGGTCAGAAAGCTGCTATACATTGTACCATATGCAGGACAGCCTTCTAAGCAAGGAGTTATCTGGCCCCAAATGCCAATAGCATCAAGATGGGGAAATTCTGGAATAGATGTTATAAGGTGGAGATGGAACTGGAAATAGAGGCAGAAGTGGGGAATTGTATGCAGGCTGGATGGAGGTTGTTTTATATAGTTGGACAAATGAGTTTGAGCACTTCATTGAGTTGACTGTGGGATAGTGAAGGGAGATGGAAGGTGAAGCACTGAGGGGGGGGATTATTAGGGGATATGGTGGAAAGCGCCTGGGATGAGGGGTGAATCAGGAATCTATGCAGTGAGTTTGGGGGGGTGCAGGCTTGTGCCAGTTTTTTTTATGGCTGCCTTTTCTCTCACTTCCCAGGTTCTCCGACTGATGGTTGGGGTCCAGGTGACTGAAGAGCAGCTGGAGAGTATTGCAGATCGCACAGTGCAAGAGGCAGATGAAGATGGAGATGGGGCTGTATCCTTCTTGGAGTTCGCCAAGGTTAGAATGCCCTTGGAGACTGGGGAGTTGAGATCAGGAGTCCTCGGGAGGCATGAACAAAGGAAATGAAGTTCAGAAGTTGGGTGGAGAAACATGGGTTCTAGGAAATGGCAGACCTGAGGGACCTGGGGGAGGAGGTTGGAAGTTTAGAGATTGGGATTTGAGCCCCCTTACTTGACGCTATCTATCTCTTGCCAGTCCTTAGAGAAGATGAACGTCGAGCAAAAGATGAGCATCAGGGTCCTGAAGTGACCCACTGTGTGTGTTTGGCTAGGTCATGCCAACCAGTATCTACTTGGGATTCATCTGCTGGATCTGCTTTCATTGTATTCTTCTAAATCAGACTTTACTTACGACAAAAAAGAGAAAGTAAGAAGGGTGTGTACTAAAGTCCAGCTCATTTGATCTCAGGTCTCTGAATCCGCCATCAGTCTTCTGGTTGCAAGTGATTGAAAGGCCACCTCAAAGTGATTTAAGTTTAAAAAAGAGATTTTAATGGTGCATATAATTAAAAAGTCCAGAACTATCTGTCTTCAGGCACAAACGATGTTATCAGGACTCATTTTTCTCAACTGCATGTCCCAGCTCAGTATCCTTCTGTACTGACCTCATGCTCAGTGGGGAGGGCTCCTTTCTAATGGAAGAGATTTACACCAATGACTCCAGGCTTCCATCTTTCTAGCTTGGTAAGCCAGTGGAAAAGGATTTCCTTACTCCAGTCAAGCAAAGAGTGTTATTGCCCACCTGAGTTCTGTTGTGTGTGTGTGTGTGTGTGTGTGTGTGTGTCTTTTTGAGACAGGGGCTTGCCATGCAATTCAGGCTGGGTTTGGGCTCACTTTGTAGCCCAGGCTGGTCTTGAACTTGCAAACAATTCTCCTGCCTCAGCCTCCCAAGTGCTGGGTTTACAGAAATACTTCAAAATGCCTGGCACCCACCTGAGCTCTTGTCCCTCTCTCTTGGGGAATGAAATGCTCTAACTGACCAGGCCTATGGCATGTACTAGCTGCTAGGAAAAATGGTCTGAGGATTCAGGGTGGGGTGAGAGGTAGTTGCCAAAAGAAAACTGAAATACTCTTACCAGGAGGACAGGGAATTTGTATGTGTGTTTCTGTGTTGGTTTTTCTCAGGCAAAACAAGAGATAGCCATTATTGTTTGTTTGACCACATGGAGAACCCTTGAAATTTGGCTTCTTAAATGATTTTTCTTGATCCCATGGAGTCATGATATGTGGTGAGGGTTGGTGATGGGGGGAGATGATGTAAAAACAATAAACAGTAATACCTTTCAAAGAGTGTGACGTTTGAGAATAATCTTGTTGTGTGAGTTTCAAGCATTGATACATTATATCACAGAATTGTGTCAAAGTCACATTAAACCATAAGAATCTAAGTTGGTAGCAAGGTGCTCTGGTTATCCTCGAGGAGCTGCTGTCCATATCCCCTCTTATGTCTTTGTCAACACATGTGCTCACATCTTCTCAATACTGTTATGCTTGTGGCTTGAAGTTGGCAGTACTAGGAATATTTACATGTGAATACTGGTCCTTCCTCTAACAGGAGAGCCTACTGTTAAGCCCTTATTATCATATGACTGCATCATATTCACCATTAATCTATGTGCTAATGGCTTTTTCATCTCTGCACGTGTGGTACTCAGCCTGTGTGGAGACCCTTTGGAAGTTCAAGAAACTTAATGATCCTTGGAAAAATTTTCAACCAATGACAGACAAAAGTTGATGGAACCCCAATTCCTTCCCATGTCAGGTGGGCAATTTAGAAGTCTTTTCATTCTTGTAGGAGTTTCTAGCAGATTTGAGCCCCTCATCCTCACAGTGTCAACCTGCTTGCTAAAGCATCCTTACCAGCTTCCTTTCCATCCTGCCTCACTTTGCTTGCACTCCTCAGTGTTCTTGGACCACCTCAAATCCTTATTTTCAGGTGCTTCTGGTGAAACTCAGCCTGATACATAGAAGACTTCTGGAACACAAGTGCACTATCCCATGCAGTAGTGGGGAGCTCTCTGGAGCCCACCAAAGAAACCTGCATTAAAGGATTTAGTGCTCTGTATTTTCTGATTTTGGGAAGTTTGAAGTCCTATAAAGACTATGTCACTTTGGGGCCTTGGGAACATGGAATGACCTGAGTGGAGTATTAATCCCATTACATTTTACTTATAGTTTGAGTCAGACAGATGAGCTCATAGCTGGCGGGGAGGAGGTGCACGACAAGGGAAAAAACTTGATTCCTTAGGGAATTTTGTGATTTTGTTGGAGGATTGTCACATGAACGAACACTTTATTATTGAGGAATATTTGTTTAATCTTTGACCCTAAGTAAAGAGAGGGAGTGGGGAATATGGGGAATAAAACGCAGTGAGTGGTTGCTTTTCCAGGTATTCTGAAGGATTTGTCTAAAAAGAGATGTAGAGAAGGAAAAGAAGCAGGGGAAGCAGTGGGGGGCAAGGAGAGACAGAGAGAGAGACAGAGAGAGAGGGAGAGGGAGAGAGAGGGAGAGGGAGAGAGAGAGAGGTTTTATTGTTGATTTTTTTTAAAAAGAGGAGAACATATTTATTGAAAGAAAGCAAGCTTCTGTCTGGGAGAAAGGGTTGCCCTATTGTTGATGTTTTTTCCATGATTGAGTTACTCAGAATTTCCTGGTGGCAAATTTCATCTGATTGAAAAGTTCAGGGCTGGGGATATAGCTCAGCAGCCTGAGCACCTGCCTGATCAGGGCAAGGTCCTGAGTTTGATTCCCAGTACAAACAAACAAACAAACAAACAAGAAAAAGGTTCAGACCCTTTAGCCCCATTTGAGAGTTCCCAAGTCTCCAGGGAAATCTATAGCTTTCATTAGTGATTTTTGTGTTAGAAGTCCAAGGTTCAACTTTTAGAAACACTGACCCAAATCTTCTGGCCAATGTGCAGGGGACCACTGCTCTAAAGGGTCCCAGCATCCACAGCACACAGAACGTGATGGGTTCCCAAGGAAAGCCTGCCCCGGCACTCCTGTGCACACCTGCTTGGGGGAATCAGTGCTTCTGACTTAAGAAGGTACTGGAGGGTCTAGGGGGGATCACAAGACTCCATTTGCTGTCCTGTTGGATGGAGAACATACTTCCCCACTGCCCCTCAGCACAAAAGCCCCTTGCTGCCACCTGAGCTCAAGACATTAGAGATCTTTGTTGTGCAGGGGATGTCAGCCTGGCTGCAGTGGTCTGAACTGCTGAGCCCCACTCCCTCTCTGTCAACTCTGATAAAAGTGCTTACAAATTTTTTGGGGTGGGGATTGGCGATACCAGTGGTGACTTGCTGTTCTGTGAGTGGCATTTGATGCTTTTCACTGATTTGTCACCTTTATTATTGTTGCCATGTATTACCTTCAATCTGTACCATTATTTACTGATTAGAGCCTAGATTATCACATCCAAAGTGCTTGGGCCTAGAAGTGTTTTACAATTTTCCCAAATTTTGGAATATTCACATATATATATAAAGAGATATCTTGGAGATACGACCCACATCAAAACATGGTATTCATTAATGTATTTTTTTTCTTTTTTGCACCAGAAATTGAGCTCACAACCTCACACTTGCCAGGCAGGTGTGTGCTGCTGAGCTATATCCCTGGCTCATTAATGTTTCTTATATATATTATACATAAAGCTGGAAGAAAACTTTATGCATTTTTTTTTCTGGTACTGGGGATTAAATCCAGGAAGCACACTCCAACCCCTTCTATTCTTTTGTTTTGAGACAGGGTCACATTGCGTTGCTGGCTGGCCTCAGACTCACTTCTCTTGCCTTAGCTGAGATTACAGGTGTGGGCCACCACACCTTGCTATTCAACTATTTTAGTGCACCTATATTTTGGCTTTGATTTGTAGCATGATGTCAGATGTGAAAGTTTCCTCTTGAGCTGTCATACAGATGTTCAAAATTTCCATATTTTGGAGCATTCTGAATTTTAGGTTTTTAGATTCGAGGTATTCAATCTGTATTTGTCTGTAAATTGATTCATTTAAATTTTATATAATTTTTTGAGACAGGATCTTGCTATATAATTCAGGTTTGCAATGTTCTTACTGTGTAGCCCAGGCTGCCCTCAAACACATGGCCTCAAACTCATGTCCTCCTGCCTCACCTTACAAATGCTGGCACTACAGGCATGTGTTGCCATGTCTGGCTAAACATTTATACATTTGAAGGTAAGCATGAAGGTGCACGCCTGTAATCTCAGCACTTTAGGAGGCTGAGGGAGGAGGATAACAAGTTTGAGCCCAGCCTAGGTGACTTAGTAAGTTAGTGAGAACTTGTCTCAAAGAAAAAAGAAATGGGGGGTGGGGGGTGGAGCTGGAGATGTAACTCTGCATAAAGGCCTGGGTTTAATCCCCAGTCATATGTTATGCTATGCTACACTGTGATGCTATATCTATATATCTATCTCTATATGTTTATAAAGGGAATTGTATTTCACTCCTGTAAATTACAAACTACCATCAGTTGGGTGGGGTATCTAGAGAGTGTGTTCCACTGGGGCTGCTGTAAAGGGCTGTAACTTCTACAGTCTTTTAGAAGGATCCATCTACATAGTTGAAAGGGAGTTAGGAGGTTCAGACAAAGCCCTCTTCCTTGCCAAGGAGACAGAACCTAAAACAGTTTGTGTAGGGAGTCCTGGGAAGAGAAGCGAACAGAAAGATAAACTCATGACACTATGCACACCTGGCTGTGCTACCATGGACTCTTTTTGAGCTGATGAGGATGATAATTCAGGCCTCTGACCTTGATGCTCAAATAGGAGGTAGCTCTAGGTTATCCTCAGTCCCACCCATTCAACACCAATGAAACTTCCTTGATGTTTAAGAGACAGTGTACAGGTTTGATTCCAGGTTAAGGATTGCCCTGAAAGTCAGTATGCTTTAGTGTAAATGTGTTCTGGAGTTCTGGGTGTTATTTATTTATTTATTTATTTTTGTCTTTTTCCTTTTTATCGGTACCAGGGATCGAACTCACGACTGCCTGCTTGCAAGGCAGGCGCTTATGCCACTGAGCTAAATCCTCAGCCCCGAGTTCTGGGTTTTAAATCTGGGCCTTTTATATCTGATGCATAACCTTGGGTAATTAACTTTATCCTTCAATGTCTTAGCTACTTCTTTGTAGGAAAGAGTCATATAATAGCACTACCCTGCAGAGCCGTTGGACCTGTCTTTTCCTGCAAACCAGTTTTATCTCAGCGGAGGCCCTTGGTCACATCTGCAAGCTTGGACTCTGGCCTGTATCAGTAAGGATTTCTTTAGTTGTTAACTGGTTTATGAAATGACAGAATTTTATTGGTTTGTAAAACTGAAATAAAAGTTCAAAGGTAGGCCAGGCAAAGGCAAGTCCCAAAAGTTCAATGATATCAGAAGTTCATCTTTTCATTTCTCAACTCTGCGGTCCTCTACATTGGAATTGTTTTGAAGCAGAAATCCCAATGAACAGTTCGGTCCCTTTCTTTTCCACCACTTCTATCAAAAGCCCCAGAACACCTGCCCACTGTAGCCAGGTGAAGGTAACACTCTGATTACTCCTGCCTGTCATATGCTTTTCTGGGAACCGTAAGTTGCTGTCATTTCTGCTTGAACCAAATGCATGGCATGGACATGGTTGGTGCTGATTCTCTGAAGTAATACAAGCATGTTGTTACCTGACCATGTCTGTCAGGCAATATCAACAGATAGCTAGATACTTGTTAGTACTTTTTGCCTATGAATGACAGAATTACCAACTAACAGTAGTGCAAACAATTAAGACAATTATCTCACACTATAAGCTGTCTCTGATGGTGTGCAGTTCCAAAGTTGTTGAGTGGGGACTGAACCCAGTGGACTGAGTTAGGCAATCAAAAATGTTTTCAAGGATCTAGATTATTTTATTCTTTCATTCCTTAATATGTTAGTTTTGGATTCTTTTATTTCCTCATGGTCACAAGATGGTTTCTGAAGCTCTAGCTATCACACCCTCCTAGGAACTGTATATAAAATGTAACTTAGGGCAGTTAAAAAGATCATTTCTTTCATGTCCCTCTATTTTGATCTCTTTTTCTCTTATTGTACTGGGCATTGAACCTAGGGTCTTTGCACTGAGCTACATCCCTAGCCCGTTTTTAATTTTTAATTTTTGCAACAGAATCTTGATAAGTACTAAGTTCCCAGGCTGGACTTGAATTTGCAATCTTCCTGCTTTAGCTGGAGTTGCAGGGATGTGCCACCATGCTAAGCTTCTGTTTTGATACCAAAAGGAAAATCTTTTTTC